GAGCCTGGCCCAGGTGACACTGTTTTGTCACCTATGGGCACTGCCCCTGCTCACAGGGAGACTTGGTGAGCACCCTTACTGGGCCTGAGACTCCCCAGCATCAGGTCCAGCCACTGCCTGGCTCCCAAGGGCCGAGAGCCCAGCTGGCCTGAGGCGAGCTGTGTCCCTTGAGTGCTGGCCCCTCCAACGGTGCCCCAGCTGAGGCTTTGCGGCAACCAGGTTTGGATCCAGCTCCTCTGCCATGTGGAGGGTCCTGCTCCTGTGGGCAGTGCAGCGTGGCAGGCCTGTGTGCAGTGGCACCGGTGCAGCCTCCGCGGGGCAGGAGGAGGGATGACCCTGCCTGTCCAGGGCCGGCAAGGCTGGGCCCTCAGCTGCTGTCCTCAGGTGGGGGCAGGGGCGGTGCAGCTGCCCAGGGCCACTGTGAGGTTCCTGGCCCTTCTGTAGCCCAACTTACCAACCTGCTCAGAGGCTGCTGGGCAAGCCCTAGGGCTCTGCTTCCCTCAGCGTGGCACCTGGGGAGGGCATCAGTTCCACCTGGACTAAGGGAAGATTCCAGAGTCTCTGAGGGGTAGCTTTGATGGGTGGGCAGAGGAAACAGGTTCCAGGGAGAGTGAGGAGTTTCAGAAAGGATCTTCCATCTGCACCTGTGCCCCGCCCCAGCCACCTTGCGAGGCCAGCTCTAAGGCCCCATCCTCACAGCCTGCACTTCTTCAAGCCTCGGGTTGGCCTGGGTTCTATTTTGGGTTGTCCCTTAAGTGAGGAGCAGAGACAGACAAAACCGGGCTCAACACGCTTGCAACCACTGCGTCGGGTGGGTGAGGGGCGGATTCCTGGGGAACTGGGGTTTAGGGCCCCGGATTCTGGCCAGAGTTTGGATCCCACAGGTCCGGACTTTGCTGGGCGGCTGCTGCATCTGCAGGAGGCCAGACTGCACCTCCCTGGGCCTGAGTCGCCTCCCTCAGACGGGGGGCTGGGTCAGAGTGTGTGGAGAGTGGCTGGCACAGCCCGCCTGCCCGCATCAGGCCCACAGCAGGTGCTGGAAGGAAGGGCCAGTCCTTGTCCCCGCTCCCCGGGTGTGTGAGGAGGGGCTGGCAGGGGCCTGCAGTCTTGGGAGCCGAGTCCTAGGAGGAGGCAGAACCTGAAGGGCCGGGGGACGCTCTTCGGAAGCACACATGCAGGGAAGGGAAAGACGGGCCATCACAGGGTGGTGTCATACCCGAGGCTTCTGCCCAGAAGAGCACCCAGAGGGAGTTGGGACACCTGGGTCCTCCCTCAGGTCGGCCACCAACACTTGGGACGCTGGGGCTGTTCCCACCTCTGTGAAGTGGGGACCCCTCCTGGACAGTCCTGCCAGGCACCCTCTCTGATGTGGGGTAGGGAGGCCTGGCAGGTCACAGGGCTGGGGGCACAGGGAGAGTGGGGAGGGGGCTTAGGGCCAGCATCGGCAGTGCCAGGTGACGAGCCCTGGCAGGAGAGGCTGCAAAGGGCTGTCTCTGTCCACCGCAGAGCCAGGACTCCCCTTGGAGCCGTTTCCCCATCTGCACTGACGCCCAGGTCAGCCCTGAGGTGGGGTTGCTGGCGGGTTGCTGTTTGTCTCAACACCCAGATGCAGACGTGGACATCTTCCTGGGAGCTGAGTTGGAGTCCAGGGGCTGCCCTTGCAGCGCTGATGGCTGCCGGTGACTCAGGGATGCCTCCTCCAACCTGATGCCGCCTTTGTGGGGCCTCCTTTAGTCTAAGGATGAACTAAAGCCCTGTGAGGTCTCCCCACCCCCCATTAGAGAAGTTGGGGAGCACCTTGCAGTGGCCTGGTCGGTTCCCAGGGACCCTTGCTAGCAATCACAGCTGCTTGGGCCTGGGCCTGGCATGTCTTTGTGATGTGGCTCAGCTGGCCCCAAAGCAAACAATGAGGGCCAGAGGCCACCCAGGTGCATCCTGGGCAGGAACAAAGGGCCTGCGGGGCTGGGGCGGGGTGGGCAGCCTGAGAGTGGAACTCCGGAGCAGGACGGGCCCAGCTGGCCCGAGGAGTCCGGGCCTGGATGGAAGGGTGGGTGCTCACAACCCTTCCAAAGCCTGCCTGGGGCTGGGCAGAGAAACCAAGGCCCAGCGCTAGAAGCTGGGGCTTGCGGGGGTATCCCTGTGCCTGCCGAGAGGCAGTGGCCTTGTCAAGAACAGGCCTGTGCCCCTCTCCCTCGTAGCTCCCTCAGGCGTGGAGGGTGGCCCAGCCCAAGCACTGGCACAGGGCCTGCCCCCAGCCCCAGGCCAGAGCCCCAGGAGAGCTCTCATGGCTGGGGACTGCACAGGGCTGGCCAGGGGCAGCAAGGCCAAGGCGGAGGAGGTGGCCTTACAGCTTGTGGTGCCCAGGGCACAGGCCCCTCACTAGAGAAGACACGGGGCAACTCCTAGGGCAGGCTGCTGCTGAACAGCCGTCCCGCGTGCCGTGCCCGTGGTCATTGAGCTGGAGGGCCCTGGCGTGTGCTCAGTCTCTGGGCAATGGCTTCACTGCGCACCTAACAGGTGGCACAGGACCACCGGCAGCACTCCCTCTGCCTCTGACGGGCTGGGGAGGGGTCCCCGGCAGGGAAGTGGGGGTCCTGGCCCGGGCTGCCCCTCACAGCCTCCTTGGTGCTGGTTCCTCATGGGTGATCCTGGGGCCCTGGGGCCCTGCCCGACCACCCCTGCCTCAGGACACGGCTCCCCAGCGCTGAGCGCTAATGCGGAGGGATGGGGGAACTGCCCGCTGAACCTCCAAGGTGAACCGAGAGGGCTTGGCTCTGGGACCCCGAGGACCAGCTTTGGAGCGAGCCTTCGCTCCCTGGACGAGCCTGGCGTGCACCCGGCCAGACCATGTGTGGGGAGGTCCGGGCGGCGAGGGTGCTGGGGAGAACAGCAGAGGGGAGAATCAATGGGGTCCACACATCGGGTCATGGAGTTAGGGGACAAGAGACCCAGAATTGGCTGCACACCGCTTTCTGCCTCACACGTCCCCACAGCCCCTTCAGGGCAACTCTCAAGACAGGGTGCTCCTTGCACGTTTGTTGAGTGAGGACTCAAATGAATATGCGTCCGACAGGTGTGGGCGGGAGGGGTTTGTCCCCACTGCGGAAGGAGTGCACCGCGTGGGGTGACCCAGAAGGAAGGGTGGGGCCTCAAGGACCAGGGGGAGGCTCCCTGGCCAGGCAGCTCAGGCCGTACCTCGCATACCTCACGGTCTGGCTCTAGCTTAGCTCCAGGAGGTGGCAGCGCAGAAACAGGACAGTCTCATTTTACAGGTGAGGAAATGGGTCCCTTGAAGGCCTACGGAAAAGCCACAGCACCAAGGCAGCCCCAGTTGCTGGTCCCAGGGGCAGTGTCCCCACCTGGTGGGAGGAGCTCCCTCCCTGAGGACACCAAGGGCCATGGCAGAATGGGGCAGGCGAGCTCCTCCAAGCAGAGGCTCAGCCAGGGCCAGGACTGAGGGGGTGGACAGGCTACAGGGCCGCGGGGGCTTGGGGGATCTGAGGTTGGAAAGGCATCTGGGACAGGATGCAGGGTCGACAGCGCCCCCAGAGTCTCACGTGGGCCTCACCCCTCAGAGTTTAGTTGTCTGGGTCCGAACTCTCCTCTGCCTGGCGGGGGGTCCAGGCTGGCCAAATGGAGACAGCAGCCCAGGCTGTGTCCCCAGGGATGAGCCACAGGCGGCTGCCAGATGATCAAGATCAAGGCCGGGTCTAGGCAAGTGATGGTCACTGCATGGGCCCTGGGATCCTCCCGACATGCTGGCCAGGAGCCTGCGCATCCACCAGCCCCGCCCACCCTCTCCTCCCTGCGGAGAGTGGCGGTCGCTGTGGGAGAGGTCATGCCCCCGTCCTGGCCTCAGCCTTAGGGTCCAGCCTGGCCCTGGGCAAGCCCCTCCACCCTGGGCCTCTGGCCTCAACCCCGCCAGTCCCCGGAGGTTCTAGAATGTAAGAGTTCCTGCAAGCCCTTGGCCACCAATGCCCTGGCCATCTGACACAGCTTGTCCTGCTGGGAACAAAATTGGGGTTAGTCCACATCCATCCAGATGCAGGGTCGAAGGCGAGTCCTTTTGCATGGCTGGGCTGGGGCTGGATGTGAGGCTGTTCCCAACCAGAAGCCTCCAGAAGATGGGGGGATGGGGCGCGGAGAGGGAATTCCTGGCCCCAGAGTCTGAGATTCTGTTAGTCTGGGGTGCAGACTCGATTCCCCACCTTGTTCAGAGAAGTGGAGGAGGGAGGACTAGGGCCACACAGGGCACAGGGCTGTGAGGACACCAGGGGCCCGGGCTCAAAGTCCAGGATGGGAGAGCAGAGGGGGCATTAGAAATTGGGACCAGCTTCCAGGAGGCATCCTTTGAGTTTAGTTGCAGCCACCAGCAGCAGCCCTGGGCAAGGCTCAGGAAAGGCGGGGTGGGGGTGGAGTGGGGGGGCGGAACAAGGACCAGGCGGGGCCTTGAACGCTGTGGTAAGGAGGCTGGACTTTCTCCTTCAGAAACTGGGGAGCCGTGGAAAGATTTGAGGAGGAGCGGGCACTGGGCACTTTCCAGGGCACAGCAAGACTTTGGGGAAGGGGTGACGCAGGGGCCACATCCAGCCCAGCTCTGATAAGAAACAGCAGAGGCGGCCCTGGGGACTTCTTGGAAGAGAGGGAGTGAGAGGGTGGGACCCGGAGGGCTTCAAAGGGAAGGGAGAGGGACTCCAGGACGGGCCGGAGACTCAGGGAAAAGGAGGGGGTGTGGCGCTGGAGGCGGCCGGCCCGGACGTTTCCGAGCCTGGGAGGGCCACGCTGGCGGGTCGCGGTCGAGGGATGCGGCGCGGTCCAGGCCCGTCACGGCCTCGCCGTGCCAGCGACGTCGGTGGGCCTCGCGAACCGGCGCCTCTGGTCCTCCGCCTGCGTCGGAGGCCTCGGTTTCCCCGCACGGCGGGGCGGGGCGGGGGCAGCGCGGTCTGGAAGCCGCCTGCAGGGGGCGCCCGCGAGCGGCGCGGCCGGAGCCCGAGCCCCAGCGGACGCCGAGACAGCGGGAGCCGGCGCGCGAGACGCGGGCAGGTCAGCCGGGCGCCGGGGTCCGGGGACCCGGGGGTCCTGGGGGTCCTGGGGATCCTGGAAGGGCGGCCGGGAGGCGTGGGGCCGTCTGAGGCTCCGGACCGGGAGGGCTGGGAGGTTCGGGTCCCCCTCCCCTCCGGGAATCCCCCGCTCCAACCCCCTTCCCGCCGCCCGAGCGAGCGCACCGGCGTCCGGGTCGGAGCCCTGCCCCGTGGCTGAGCAGGGGCGGCTCAGGCGCGGTCACCCCGTAAGCCCAGTCGGGGGGCGGCGTGCCGACCCTGTGAGCCGCCCCAGACGGGGCCGGAAGGTGCGCGGGGGCAGCCCGGGAGGGAAGGGCGAGCGCCGCGGTCGGAGCGGCGGGGGCTGCGGGGAGGCGTCTGGACCCGCAGGTAATGGGCGGGGAGCGTCCGTCGGTCCGTCTGGGCGCCTTGAGCCGGCCCCTGCGCGCTCGGATGAGCCTTCCGGGCTCGCCTAGACCAGGGCTGGGCTGGGGACGCAGAGGCGCGGCCCGAGGGCGGACAGATCCGGACCCCCGGGACGAGAGAGGACTTGTACAGGAGGGGGACCCCGGGCCCGGACCGGTACTCGGGGAGCGCACGGCGGGAGCAGAGGCTCCGCACCCGAGCGCCGGGGGCGCGGTGAGAAAGGAGAGTCTGGAACGCGGGGCTGGGAGCGCGGGTGCGTCCTGTGTACAGCGGTGGCGGGAACTGGGCTTTAGGGGACCCAGGAGGGACCGGGAAACAGGCGGGCGTGGGTGCGCGTCTCGGACTGGTCCTGGCTGTCTGCCTGGCTGCCACAGCAGAGGTAGGAATGGCGGGAATGGTGGCGGCTCTCGAGGGATTTGGCTCAGGACGGCCCAAGAGCTCGAGGAGGGGCCGCCGGCCGCGGAGCAGAGATCCCAGGGTTCTGGGCATTTAGACTTTAGTTTCCCCGACTGTGCGGTGGGAAGGAGAGACCCAGGGCTGCACCTGGGCTGGGGAGCTGGGACCCTGGGGGGAGGAGCAGGTGTTCGCTTGGCCCTTGGCGTGGCGGCTGCCCGCTCTAGCCAGCTCTCCTTCCCCAGTCGAGGCAGCACGTGGTCTCCTGGGGTCGGCCGCCCACAGGGCCCAGGCTCCCCTCAGCCTTGGAGCTCAGGCTGCCTCTGCTCTGCCTCTGCGGCCCAGCTCCCCCTGGGCTCCCAGACTCTGCACCCTCCTGGTGACTCCTCATGCCACCTCCAGGGCTGCCCCTGGTGTCCTGGCTCCGAGGACCATGGTGGAGAGCTCGCTGGAGCACAGCAGACCATAGAGAATGCTGTGGGGTCAGAGACTGCCTTGGTGGCCTGCTGTGCTGTTCCTGGCGGCTGTGGGTGGGGCTGGGCACAGCCTTGTGCCCTGTGGGCAGCCCCCACCCTGAGTCCCAGCAGATCCACGGCAGGGGCTCCTCTCAGGCTAGTCCACTGGCCATGGTGTCCACACCTCACTGTTCTGCCCTTGCCTTTCAGGCTCTCCCAGGTCCTAGTGTTTCTCAAGTGAATCCCAGCCAGCACCCTCCATCCGTGTCCCCTCAGTGTGACCACGTTCTGGGCTGAGTCAGCTTCCCTGTTCAGTCCGAAGGAGGCTGGGGCAGCCCAGGCATGCCTGGCGGGAGGCGGGCTTTGGGCCGGGCTGGACTGGCTGGTCACCGGGGGCTTGCAAGTCGCTTCTCCCCATACTGGCCAATGAAGTCAGGTTCCTGAGCACCCTGGGTCCTGCGCCCCAGGAGTCCACAGCCTAAGAACGCAATGGCCAGCCTCAAGGGATGCCCAGTGGGTGGGGCGATTTCCATGGTCTAACCTGGGTTGTGGGTTCTGGTCCTGCCTCCTCGCTCACTCGCTTGGCAAGTCACTTCTCCCCAGAATCCGCTGTCTCATGTGTAGAACAAGGATGATGATCCCAGTGACGCCTAACATGGAGAGGGAGCGAGAGATGGGCATTGTGTGGAGGGTAGGGAAGGACAGACCAGAGGCAGGTCGAGGTCTGTGCTTGAGCTGGGGAACCCTGGTGGAAGGGTGTTAGCTTCAAGGGCCAGGGGGCACCACAAGGGCTTGCTGTTGGCAGAGGGACGTGTGAACTGAAGTTGGCTTGGGAGCAAGCGTGTGGCTTCAGGGCATCATGTCTCGCACAGCCCAGGACCCATGGGCGCCTGGGCAGCACCTGCTGTGTGAGACCACAGCCCCTGGTAGCTGTCAGCAGTGACCTGAAATCCCAAAGTAGGTCTTGCTGCCTACCTGTAACCTGCCTGATTCCTGAATCCCCTAGCCCAGGATGAGCTGGAATTGCCATCCCGCCTGCCTTTGTGGGGTCTGTCTCACCTGGTGCAGCTCAAATCGGGCCCTCAAGAGATGCGCATGCGTGAGAGCAGAGGGCAGGACGGCCGGATGCACGAAGGTGGGAAGGGTGGGCTGAGAAGGGGTTTTGGTGTGTGTGTGGGGATGCTGCGGAGCGGAGACCACCACAGTCAGGTGCTAAGTAGGCAAAAGGGAGGATCCCAGCCCCCAGGGGAGGGTCTGGCCCCAGGAGGCGCTGGGGGCTGCAGAAGGGAGGGGTTGGCCCGAGGGACTTGGTCAGAGGAGGTGAGGGAGCAGAGGGCTGCAGAGCCTAAGGCTGGTCCCTGATGAGGGAAGGGAACAGAGCTGGGATGCAGAGAGGAGCCCCCAGGGACTGCTCCCTCCTGGGCAGGGTCTGGGGCTTTGGGTGGTGGGAAGAGGCAGTTTGGTGGCAGAGAGGAAGGGCCCCGGCCCCTGCAACTGGAAGGCCTGGGATCCTGCCAGAGACTGAGCAGGGTCCAGATGGAGGGGAGAGCAGCTGCCCCTCAGGCCGGCACACAGGAAAGGCAGGACTCCGCTTTCCAGAACTACGTCAGGCCTTCTCTGACTGCCTCTGAGCTGCCACGGGCTGCTTTCTTTGCTAGACTCTCCCGATCTCTTCCCTTCACCTCCGTGTCCTCCAAGTCCAGCCCAGATGGCCCTTCCTATGAGAAGCCTTCAGGATTCCCTTTGGGCCCACACCCCCTCCTGTGGGCCTGTTGCTGGGCGGGGGCTGGGGCTGGGGCTGCCCTTCCGTGGCTCCCACCTCTGCGGATGTGCTACTCTGCCGGCCCAGGTCTTTGGCAGGTGCTGTCACCTGGAGGAGAGGCTGCCTGAGCTGGCTGAGCAGCGGCGAGTGGTGCCACTTAGGTGCCTCCTCTGGTGTCTGGGCTGCAGGTCTCTGCCCAGAGGCCCCAGGCTGCCCATCTGTGGCAGGGATTCACCTCTGGCCTCTCTGGCCTCTGCAAAGTCTGAGCCAGCTGGGTGGGTGCTGCTGAATGGGGATGGTGCAGTGGCCGGGCTCTGGGGTGGTGGGGGTGCACCTGGCGGTGACGGTGGCCCAGATCCCCACCTCCCTTCAGTCTCCAAGGCTGCATTGTCACCCCTGTGCCCCTTGGACCCCAGCAGTGGGTCCCTCCCACCCTCAGCACAGCTGCCCTGAGGGGAGCCCCTGGGGCCCTGCACCTAGCACCGCCCCTGCAAGCCTCCTGCCAGGGTCCCACCCCAGGCCCTGTTCTCAGGGCCATCTAGAGACACCCCCATGTCCCCTCTTCAGGCAGCATAGAACCCGTCATCCGCCATCTGAGGGAGGTGCAGGTTCTGAGCCTTTCACGTGATGCCATCTCGCCGCAGCCTGTGTCTGCACGAGGAGCCGTGTGCAGAGGGGAAACCTCTTGCTCAGCTCGCAGGGAGCATGTGATGGAGCAGGAGCGGCCCCCAGCACCTCTGTGTGAGATCTGGCCCCTTGGAGGGGGGCTGTCGGGTGAAGCCGAATGTGAGGGGGTGAGTAGCCACCTCAGGTGGGGAGGACTGGGGGCCTGTGGCCTCTCTGGCATCTGGCCTGGACTCGTGGGGCTGGCAGGGCCCATTCCGGCCCTGGTGGGGAGCAGGGAGCTGCAGCAGGCCCTGCGGGCAGGGGCGAGGTCGAGGTGGAGGCAGCCCCCAGGGCTGGTGATGTGAGGCTGCTGAGTACCCCCCTCCTCCAGCTGCGAGGAGCTGCTCTGCCCCATTCCTGCCCACATCCTGCACCCTGGAGCAGAGAGCGGCAGCCACACGCCCCGGGCGGTGGGGGCAGGGGCGCCGCCAGGTGCGCCTGGGTACTGGGCCCAGCCTGCACCCAGCGCCTGAAGTGGGAGCCGCTGTGCAACCCTGGAGCAGGGAGGGAAGAGGAGCCAGCGCTTGGTGGCCGTTCACCTCCAGGCAGCACCAAAGGCTCCTGCTGCTGATGAGCTGGGGAGGGGCTCGGTGGGTCGTGGGGCCTGGTGTTCTGCCAGGCTTGTGCCCAGGCTACCCCAAACGCCAGTTCAGGCAGAGCCAGCTGAGGGCCTGTGTTTGGGAGCCCGAGCGGCCTGCGGTCCAGCCGCTGCTCCCTGCTGCTGCTGCTGAGCTGCTGCGGGACACACACTGGTGCTCCCTGATCTACCTTCCGTGCCCTTCGGCTGTTTCCGCGTACACCTTGTCTCTGTGAGGTGTCTGTGAGAATTCCCCAACTGCCTCTTCCACTGGGTGCGCGGCTGAAGGCGCTCACATCCCCTGTGTTCTTCAGTCCCTGCTCGTCATTTCCAGGATTTTATGTCAGTATTATTTCTTGTTCACATCCACCTGTACTTGTTTCCTTTCTGTCGGTTGGTTCATAAGTTCTCATTCTTGTTTATAAATGCTATTCCTTTCTTTATCTCTTCAAAGATCCTAAATGTCTTTAAAAATCATTATTGGATTGCTCTAGTACCTTCCTTTCTTCAGGGATGAATTAATCTCCATATTTTTATGCTATTGCTTATCTTTCTTAGCCTTCATTTTCCTCCTGTGCTTTGTAATTGTGGTTTGCAGCTTATCTTAAGTGTGACCTGAGGTCCTGGAGACAGGAGTGACAGTAGCTACCTGAAGCACCTGAAACTCCTGGGCTCTTTCCTCCGAGGAGCCTCTGCCGTAGGACCGGCCCAGACAGGGCCAGGCACAGCAGCAGGGGACACAGAGCTCCCTGTGGTGCTGCCTGGCATGGCGTAGGTGCTGGGTAAATGTTTTCTATTAGAAAGTATTTCTATTAGCAGTATTTTGGCCAGGCGTGGTGGCTCATTCTAGGAAGCTGAAGAGGGAGGATCACTTGAGGCCAAGAGTTGGGGGACCAGCCTGAGCAAGAGTGAGACCCCCTCTTTACAAAAAATAGAAAAATTAGTTGGGCGTGGTGGCGCGCACCTGTAGTCCCAGCGACTCAGAAGAAGTAGCTTGAGCCCCAGAGTTTGAAGCTACAGTGATCGACGATGATGCCTCTGCGCTCGAGTAGCCTGGGCAACAGAGCAAGACTCTGTCTCAAAAAAAAAAAAGAAAAAAGAGAGAAAGTAGCAGGAGGATTCTAAGGCTGGGATTCTGGCGCCCGGGAACAGGCCTGGTGTGGCTGCGACAGGTCCAAGTCCCTGCACAGTGCCCTGTGCATTGCCCATGGCCGCTCCCGGAGCAGGTGTGCAGGGCACTGCCTGGAAGCCAGCGGACACCTCCGTCCAGCAGGCTCTGGGGGGTCTCAGCCACCATCTGGGCATGTGTACAGAAAGCCTTGCTAATCTGACATACAAGGAGCCAGAAGTGGACCAGGAGATGTGGGTTTTGATTAAATGGAGTTTTAATTAAAGTGGCGGGTCGGGGTGGGGGTGAGGAGGGAGGCAGGAAGAAGTGGCGGTTTTGAGTCTGACTGCTAGGAATCCTGCACGGTTGTTCTTTCAAGGCTTATCGCGCATGTTCCACAGCATGTGTCCCCAGTTTATATGGGACAGCGTCTACCCTCTGCCCTGTCCTCAACAAGGGACAATCACAGGGAAATATTACATTATTAATACTTAATTTCCCCTCCCAGCTAGCAACAGATGACTCAAGGATTAATTAGATACACAGAGCCAACAGAGAGGGATAGGAAATTGCCAGATCCTGGCCCTGCACCCACCCCCTCCTGGGCCTCCGACCTTCCTGTTACTGGGAGGCTTCTGAAGGGAGGGAGGCTTCGAGGGGCCAGAGAGCCCTGTAAGCCCTCCCGCTGCTATGCTTTCTGCGGGCATCCCCCGGGCCTGCGCCACCCTTCACTGCTCTTGGTGAGGCCGAGAGTGGTCCACCTCACCTCTTTGGGCCTCAGCTTCCTCATCTGTAAAAAGGGGTCATGCATGGGGCCAGCGAGATCACGGATGACCGTCATTCCCTAATCTCCTGAGCAGGCTGCGCAAGCTATTCAGGAGGGTCTGGTGTGGTGTCCTTGCATCTAGGCAGGTGGCCTCTCAGCCTAGGGTTTGGTGGCTTAGTGGTGGCTGGCACCTGGGAGTATTGCTTCCCAATTCCAGTCAATGACACATTAGTAGCTTGAAATCAGCCACAGTGGGAGCATTTACACCACAGAAATTGAGCAAAGGCTACAAGGCAGGGTGTCCCAAGCCCCGGGCCGATCTGCCAGCCTACATCTGGGTAGATCATTCCCCCGCAGACCTCCAGCAGGAGGTGCTCCCAGCCTCATCCCTCCTCTGCCTGCTCCAAGGGTGCTTCTGGCTCCACTGATCTGCTTTGCTCGGGCCGGGGGTGAGGGTGGGGGACAGCAGTGAGTGCATCTGGTTTGGCAGGTAACCAGGTTGCCTGTGGGACTGGCAGCAGCTGGAAGAGCCTGCAGGAATGCTGAAGGAAGGGGCAGAGCGGGAGCAGGATGCGCAGTGAGGTCGCCCGTGCAGACCCTGCCAGCGGGAGCCTTGGGTGTGTCTTTAGCCCTGTACAAGGCTGGCCGGGCAGGAGGGTCTCTTGTAGTCAGTGAGACATGTGGACAGCAGGAAGGTGGCTTCAGTGTAGGCAGGAAGGATATCGGCATCCAGTGCTGTTCAGCATGGGGACCCACTGCATGGAAGGTGGTAGGGAGAGCCTAAGAATTGGGGGTACGCAGGCAGGCACCCAGAGCTGCTGGGAGAGCCTTGCCGAACAGAGGCTTGCGTCAGGCCCCTTGAAGGCTTCTTCTGAGCCAGGCATCCTGGCTGGTGTGGTCAGTCCAGCCCCCACGGCTGCCTCACGTTGGCAGAAACGTGGTATGTCCTGCCTTGTCTGCCCCCGGCAGGACCCTTGAATCTGGAGGATGGTCTGGGACAATGTCAGCCTTCTAGCCTGGGCTGGTTGGATTGGCAGAAGGTCCTGGCATCCTTCAACGCAGATTCCGCTAGAGAGGGCCCGAAGGATGTCAGGTGGTTGTCATCTTCTCCTCAGGAGGCTCTGGTGTTCAGAGGCAGCATGCCTTGGACAGAGGCGTCTCCCCGAGGCCTCGCTGGGCCTGATTGGACGGTGGGCTACTTCTGCTGCTGTGGGTGCCGGGCTGGGAGGCCACACAGGGGCCACAGGCCAGCACCTGCGTGGGAGGCAGGCTGGGTCTGGCGCTGGTTCCACCAGTACCTATTATATGGGGGCCTGCTGGGCGGGCCCCTGGTGAATGCTGCTCCAGGCTACAGTCCAGGAGCACCAAGGGGCAACCATGTGCCTTCTGTGTGGTTGGGAAAGGCACCAGGAGACTTGGTCTGGCCTGTCTCTGCCAGGGACACTCTTTGTGAGCGGTTAGCTGGCAAGTGCTCCGTCCAAAGCAGGGGCTCAATAACATGCAGCCCTCTCCAACTGCTGCAGGCCGCTCAAACCCCTCAGTTTCCACAGGGGCTGTGGCCTCCTCTTCCCTCCTCTCTCCTCCTGCTCCCTGGCCTGTGTCAGATGCTCCATTCCAAGCCTACCAGTGGGGGCAAAGGGCATGTTGGGCACAGGGGACTCCCCAAAGGTGTGGCTGCAGCCCAGGCACATCCCAGCTCCAGCCACCCAAGGCACTGACGGCATCGGAGTTAAAAGGAAACTTGGGTTCGTCTCCTTCGGCCCTGTGTCACTTCCTGGTAGATTGGGGAGCAGGGCTGGCCCTCGAACATGGCTAGGGACCAGGAGTAGCCTTCTTCTGAGTCTGCTGGTCCTGCTCAATCTCTTGTATCTTGGAGGGAGGAAAGCTGTGGCTGCCCGAGCCCGTGTGAAAGGCAGCCTCAGGCCTCTTGTGTCCAGGAAGGCGATGGCTGCTGCCCCTGAAGGTTCAGGACTGGAAGGAGGTGGATTTGGGGGGCCTCTTAGCTCTCAGAGAGAGGCAATTCAGTGAGCAGAGGCTGCTTGGACTGAGACCATTTCACAAGCTCAAAGGGGAACACAGGGTTTGGGCTGGGCTCAGGCCTGCTGGGAGACTGACTTCTAATTCTGAGAGGTGTCAGTAATTCCTTTTGTTTCTGTGACATGTCTTTTGATGCTGGGGGAGCCATTTCGAATCTGTTTATTTATTTCCTTCTCAGAGAATCATGAGTGAGAACTAAAGTGGCCCCTAGACGTCATCTGGGGTCCAACCATGTTGCTGTATCAGTGAGGAAATTGAGGCCCAGAAAGGAAAAACATTCTTGCCCATAGTCCCCCAGTGAGTCCTGGCTTAGCACCTGCCCTCTGCCTGGCACCAAACTCGAGTCAGTCACTCCTGTCAGCCAGGCAGAGGAGCAGGTGGGAGGAGGGCAGGGAGCAGGGCGGCTCCCTCAGAGCAGCTGCTGCTGCACTAGTCCCACCCTGATGTGCAGCTGGCTGGCACGGGCACCTGGAGGCAGCGGGCCCAGGAGTAGCGTGAGAGGACTTACCCTCTGCTGGCAGTGGAAGATAGGAACAGATGGCTCCCCACATCCCTGCAGACCAGCACTCCAGGGGCCTTTGGCCTGTCCAGTAACTGTGCAGTCCTTAGGTGGGCACGGGTATGTCCCAGGAGAGCTCGTGGGGTGTGGAACAGGTCAGGGGGCTAAGAAGCTGGCCCAGTGAGAGAAAGTGGGCGGGACTGAGACAGCCTGAGAGGTGAGGGGCCTTTCCAGGAGAGAGGGAGGGTCGTGGGGCTGGCAGGGAGTGCAGGACCCAGGAGACTGGGCCAGGCTGCCACAGGAGGTTTGAGAGATGGAGCATGGGGAGCCAACGTGAGTGTCTGACTGAGAGACTGTCCGCTCCCCTAGAAAGCAAAGAGAGATTGCGGCTGATCCTCATCCTGAGTCCAGGGTGGGAGAGGCTCTGACCCCAACACCCAAGGTGGGGGCAATGCAAGGAGCCTCGGAAAGTGCCGGGGTGACCCACACTTTTGGCAGGGGCCTGGCCATGCCCTGTCCACGTGGGTCCCTCTTGCATCCATCCTGCAGAGCCTGGGAGAGGGGCTGCCCGTTTGGGAGGGGTTTGCATGAGCGTCTTGGCAGGAATCCCGCTGGACCAAGGGAAGCAGCTTTGCTCAGGGACCTCTCTGGGCCTATGTCGTCTGCAATGGGAGTCAGAATCCTGACTCTCCTGCCTCCTGGCAGTGACCACAGCAAACTAGGCAGGGAAGGCAGTGGGCGTCATCCTCAGGCTGACACCGGCCTGTAGGTGGGTGGGATCTGAAGCAGTAGGGTCCTCCAGGGGCCAGGCGGGTGTGGGGTGGGGGCGGGGAGCTTTACACTGGGCCCACCCCGCTGCAGGTTGCTCAGCTTCTCACCGAGCTCTCCCTTTGCAGGTGCTCAGGAACCCTGAAGCCGGCTGAGCCATGGTGCTGCCACCGGAGCCCCTGGAGAGGGCTTGGTTTTGGGAGACTCAGAGTCGTCTGTGAAAACACCCCTGGAGAGCCCCCTGGCAGGAAGGGGCTCGGGGTCTGGGCCAGGCGGGCGGGCGGCTGGGCTGCAGCTATGGACCGTGAGCTGGCCCAGCCCGCGTCCTTGCTGAGCCTGCCGGTCTATGGCCATGCCCACCATGGGCTCCTGGGTGTACATCACGGTGGAGCTGGCCATTGCCGCGCTGGCCATCCTGGGCAACGTGCTGGTGTGCTGGGCCGTGTGGATCAACAGCAACCTGCAGAACGTCACCAACTACTTCGTGGCGTCGCTGGCGGTGGCCGACATCGCAGTGGGCATGCTCGCCATCCCCTTTGCCATCACTATCAGCACTGGTTTCTGCGCTGCCTGCCATGGCTGCCTGTTCTTCGCCTGCTTTGTCCTGGTCCTCACGCAGAGCTCCATCTTCAGCCTCCTGGCCATCGCCATTGACCGCTACATCGCCATCCGCATCCCACTGCGGTGAGTGGAGCTGGGGCTTACGTCTGTGCAGAGGCTGCCTGTGCCAGGCTTTGGTCTGTGTCTGGGGCTGGGGTGAGCCCAGGGTCAGGGCCTGGTCTGCAGCGTCAGCACGGCAAGCTGAGGACAGGGCCCTGGGGCTCAGCAGGGGCTGCCCGGGGCTGCCACATGGCCAGTGCTCATGCTGATCTAACGGATCCCACTGGCAGAGCCCTGCCCCGACCCCAGGCTACTCTGGGCTGCCTGTGGCCAGCTGTGCTCTGGCTGCTGACAGACAAGCATGGCATCGGGCTGAGAGGGCAGCGCTGGCCCAGTGACCTACACACTGCAAGCCAGTGCATCTGGGCGATTCTTCACATACAAGAGCAAAACTGCCTGCATGATCCTGGGGTGGATGGGGAACCGCAAGAAACCGCAGGACCTCAGAGCAGGAGCCCGCCCACCGCCCACCTTCCCCCAGCGGCTCTGGGCGGGCCTCACAGTGTGCACATTAGGAAAATGACCCACAGAGGGGAAGTGACTTGGCCAAATGCCACAGTGAGTCACTTGGACCTATATGCAAATTCTGTTGCTCCTTAGGTCACCAAGGACTCATGGTCTTGGAGGCAGGCTGTGCACACAGGGCTGGCTGTTGGAGGGGGTTTTTATGGTGAATCTTTTGTGAAGTGACTTCAGCCAAGTATTGTGTAAATGAAGATTTTCCCGGAGGCTGAGTTCACTTGGTGTGGCCTCCACCTACCCAGGCCACAGATGAGGCTAGAAAGTGCGTCCCTCCCTTGGGAAGCCCAGGGACCTCCTGCCCCACCTCCTAGCCCTCCATCGTGGAGCCAGGTTCCATGGCCGGGTGGTTGCAGGCCCTGAGGCTGTGGACAGGGCTCGAGGTGGCAACTCTCAAGAATCAGGGTAGGCTGTCCCCATGGTGGATTCTCCCAAAAGCTGGTCCCAAGCAGCCCCACTCCAGGCTGAGGGTGACCCAGCAGAGAGGAGCACCAAGTTCAATGAGCAAATGGAAATTTAGAGCATCAAACCCAAGGGGACCCTCAGAGGTCATTTCCTCTCATCTTCTGGATGGAAAAATGAGGCTCAGAGAAGGAAGCCAGCTGTCTCAGGGCCACACAAAGAGTTGGTAGCAGAGCTGAGACTAGGCTTGGGAAGGAATGTGGCCTGCCACCCACTGTGACTTCAGTTGCTGAGGAGCGGTCCCAGAACCCGCACCAAGTAACCATTCCTGTCTCCTGGGCTCTAAGGGGGAAGCAGGCACCCACACTAAGCTGCTCACAAGAAGGGGAGAGCTGGGTCCTCATGCTGCCCTGTGGATGCTCTATATCCCAGGGAGCGTCTAGAACCCTTGTCAAAGGAGAAGGGGACCCTGGCTGGCCCTAACAGGGGGCCGAATTAGAGGTTGTCTAACTCCAGGTACAGTCTGTGGGACAGCCTGTGCCCCCAAGCCTCCATCCCCCTTGCTCTAGGGGGGCAGAGCAGAGTCCAGGTGTGTCAGTGATAGCTCAGAACACAGAGGCCCAGAGTCTATGTCAAGGGCCCAGGCGGAGCCCAGACACTGGTGGAAGCAGGTGGGAACACCCCATGGGGAAGCAGAGGCCTCGCTTTTACTTTCTTCTGTGATTCAAAGGGAATATTCTAGGGAGGGATCAGGGCTGCTGTTCTCAATTTAAAGGACCTCATCTTTTTTTTTTCTTTGTCTTTACCTTTCTTTCTTGGTTTTCTTTTTGTTTGTTTTTTGTTTTTGAGACAAGAGTCTTGCTCTGTTGCCCAGGCTAGAGTGCCATGGCATCAGCCTAGCTCACAGCAACCTCAAACTCCCAGGCTCAAGTGGTCTTCCTGCCTCAGCCTCCCAAGTATCTGGGACTACAGGCACGTGCCACCATGCCTGGCTAATTTTTTTTTTCTATTTTTAGTTGCTTGGCTCATTTTTTCTATTTCTAGTAGAGATGGGGGTCTCACTCTTGCTCAGGCTGGTCTCGACTCCTGACCTCAAGTGATCCTCCCACCTCAGCCTCCCAGAGTGCTAGGATTATAGGCATGAGCCACCGCACCTGGCTCCCTCTTGGTTTTCTGAGAGTCAAGAATCCCTGACGTAGGAGGATGGGATATGCTGTGTGGCTATGGAAAGCCAGTGCCCCTCTCTGGGCCTCTTTCCTCATCTACAAAATGGGATAAGTCTCTCTGTCCCTCTGAGCTCACAAAGGTATCATAAGGGTCCAGTGAGTTGAAGAGAGTGACGAGGACCCTGTGGAGGTCGGTGGGGCAGATGGGGTAGGGATTCAGATCTTTCTTGAGCTGCTAGAGGTTTGGAGCCATGGAGCTGTCCCCCAGCCCCCTCCCCCACCTGTCTGCATCCTGACTTCCACAACCTTTGGGAGCTGGACTTCAGTTCCATCCAGACCATGGGCCCTTTGAGCTGTGCTTGGTGAGGCTCTGGAAGGCTCTGGCCAGTCTCTTCCACAGGGAGCTGACGGGGAGGATGACGTGTTGCTCTCTCCCCGCCATGGGCAGAGCTTTACAGTTGCAAAGGATGTTAGCACAGTGTCTCCTTTGATCTCCTGCCCAGCGTGGTGGCCAGGGCGGGTGTTATGACCCTCCTGTTACTCATGCGGAAGCCAGAGCCAGGGAAGGACACAGGAGCATCTCCTGATGTGGATGGATTCCTGGCCCTCTGGTCCCTTCACTTTCCTATTCCTTGAGGCCCCTGGGCTGCTGGGCATGTGGAGGTGTCCATGTAGGGGCTCCTGAGAGCAAGCTGGGTGTGAGGGGGTGCTTGGAGTCGATGCCTGGCTGGGGCTCCCTCTCCTCCCGCCCCGCCTCTGTGCCCCGCACAGCTGGGAGCGCAGCCTCCGCTGTTTCCTGCTCCACTGAGAAAGATCACTGGCTACTCCGAGGTCTAGTCTCTGATCAATGCGCTGGATGCCGAACCTCAGGGCTGTATCCCTTACTGTTACATTTTTCTAAAGAATTCCATTTTAGAAAAATCTATCTACTCTTTCCCAAGTGCAGCAAACATGTTGGGCTGGGGCAGGGCCCAGTCAAGTATGTCCGTGAGAAAAGCGGGGCCAGAGGCGGAGATGCGGCTCTGTGTGTCCCCAGAGGATGGAGGACTCAGAACAAGAGATGCAGACTTCTCATCCCAGGGGATTTTGCACCACTGTCTCCTGCCTCTCACAGCAGCCCTGGTGGGTGCCCTCACTCGTCGAGGAACAGGCCAAGGTGCAGGGTGGCAGTTGGTGCCGAAGCCTGAAGTCTTATGTGGTGAATCAAGCTGACTTATAAGGAGGGCAGGACTGAGAGAGAGGGCTTCCTGGAGGAGGTGACGCCTGATGAGTCCTGCAGGATAGGCAGGGTCTTCCTGGCGCGTGTGTTGGGGCAGGTGCGTCGAGAGGGGTTAAAGCCTGGGTAATGGCCCTGAGGACGGAATGAGCATGTGGGCACTAGGCTGGGGAGAGGTGACCTGGCTGCTGAGTGACAGAGAGATGAAGAGAGTGGGCAGGGAGGGTGGAGGCTGACTCAGGCCTGTCCGTGCCAGGGGAAGGAGTTTGGGTTTCCCCTGTGGGTCAGTGGCTCTTTAAGACTCCTTTGGACAACCTAGGGAAGCCCCACCTTCTCCTCAGTGTGGTACAAAAGCACACAGATTCCCACCTAGGATCATGGGGCATATTCTTGGACCATAGGGTGAGCCCCTAATGTGGGTAACGGGGATCCCCCTGGAAGGGGCAGCTGGAGGATGCGGGGATGCAGAGGGCACCTCCAGAGGGGGTGGGCAGCAGATCTGGCACTTGCATCCCCTAACAACACTGGGCCTCTTAGAATGGCAAAATGTCATGCTGGATGGCTTTGGCACCTCTTGCAGCTGGAAGGTCTATGTCTGGGGTCTGGAAGGCCAAGATGTGACCGTGTTAGTCACAGATGTGGCCCAGGGGATGCTGCTGGGCCTGGCCAAGGCTCTGCCATAGTTCCATTTGGGCCCCGATGCTGTCCCAGGCCCCTGGCCACTAGGGTTCTCAGCCTAAGTGGCTTTCTTTTGAATAACAAAATTGATCTATTTTTGCTTTTTAAAATATAAATAATACTTGCATGCGCTAAACATTAAAAAGGAACAAGAGGCCGGGCACGGTGGCTCACGCCTGTAATCCTAGCACTCTGGGAGGCTGAGGCGGGTGGATCGCTCAAGGTCAGGAGTTCGAGACCAGCCTGAGCAAGAGCGAGACCCCGTCTCTACTAAAAATAGAAAGAAATTAGCCAAACAACTAAAAATATATATATAGAAAAAATTAGCCGGGCATGGTGGCGCATGCCTGTAGTCCCAGCTACTCGGGAGGCTGAGGCAGTAGGATCACTTGAGCCCAGGAGTTTGAGATTGCTGTGAGCTAGGATGACGCCACGGCACTCTAGCCAGGGCAACAGAGTGAGACTCTGTCTAAAAAAAAAAAAGAACAAGAGTATAGAATAGTGGGAAGTTGTCCCCCCAGCCCCTTCCCCCATGCTGTTCCCTCCCTGAAGGCAATGGTGGGAACCCTTCCAGAGGTGTTCTTTGCAGATATAGGCAAGTGCTATTAACATTTGTTTTGGGCTGTCTTTGCAGAGTGCAATGAAGACTCCCCTCGTGGGGTTCCCTCGTCTGTACAAATAGACAACTGGACAGATCAGGGATTTCCATGTCGTGTTCCTAGAAGCCTCCGGGCTGGGCCCTGGTGTCCCCACCACTCACTGATTCAGTAAATACGTATGAAGCCCATTCTCTTCCCCAGCAGCTCCGCCTCTGTGACTTCCTGGGAATGTGGGGAGGAAGGTCTGCTGCTGGAGAACAATTTGAAAACCAGCAAAGCAGGTGGCCCCAGGGCCCAGGCAGCTCTGTACTGCCCTGTGGCTGCTCGCTTCTGCTTGATTGCTTCAGACAACAGGAAACTCACTACTGCTCAGGGCAGCCCATTTCTCCTGTGATCAGCTCAGCTGGAAAGTTCTTACCTACCCTGAGCTGCCATCTGCCTCCCTGTAATTTTTGTTCTACATTCTGCCCTTAGGGGGCAGTGCCGACAGGTCCGGGACTCAGTCCCATTTCACAAAGGAGGAAACTGAGGATCAGAGACAAAGTTTCAGAAGACTGCTGTTTACAGAAATGCACCAGGTCCAGAACACAGGCAGGGATATGCTTTCCTCAGGAAAGATATAAAAATCAATGTAGCCTCCCATTCAATGAGGATTATATAAATTACTCTTTGTAGAGCACTAAAATGGGTGCCTGGCACAGAGTAAATGCTATGTTAAGTATGAGTGGGGGAATAAAAAAGGCCTGCGACTTCACATTTGCGGCTGCAGGACAGGAGACGACGCAGTGGCAGCTCTCTGTCGCTCGGCAGAAATGGGCAAGTCCGTAACCCTCCTCCTGCTGAGGTCCTGTTGCAGGTGGCCAAGCCCCTGCTGGGTACTGCTAAGGAGCTCCTGAGCGTGGGCCTGCGTGGTTACTGTGTGGATTCAGAATTGACATAAGAGATTCAGAAGGATGGACTCACCTTGGCCTGACTTGCCTCTGGGCTCCTGGGATGTCCATGGCAAGTCCATTCCTGTCCTTGGGCCTCAGCTTCCTTACCTGTAAAACGAGGCGGGTAGACTAGATTAGAGGTCAGAAGCCACCAGGTTTTTCTTTTCTCCTTAATTTGAATTAGTTGACAAAATTTAAATCTTGAGAGACTTTACCTGGAAAGTCAGATCTCCGGCCCCTCCTGAGACCTGGTAACAGTGGGTGTATATTTTGCACGGCAGCGCAGACCACATAAACACCCCACCTCCCTGCCTCTTGCGGGTGTTACCTGTAGGCATCTGTATTTGCCACCCAGGGACCAGATCGTTTCTGTGAATGTTTCCAACTCTGAATTAAGTAGAACACATTTTTCCTTGGCACCTACTGTGTGTCCCTGTCTCAGAGCCGGCAATGAAGACATGGATGCAGGAAAGTCCTGCCGTCGGGGGATCCGGATGAGGTAGGGATTTGCTGTGCTTGGGTAGGGAACTTCTCCAAGAAAATCTCTAGCCCGACTTTGAAGGATGAGTAGGGTTTCCACCAGGTAGAGGGGACAGTAGTCTGGTCTTGCAGAATCAAAACTGTTAAACAGAAGGTCATCCCTCAGTGATGATCGAGGATACCTTCCTGAGACTATTTTTTTGATTGTCCTTTTTTTTTTTTTTTAAGATAGAGTCTCACTCTGTCACCCTGGATAGAGTCCAGTAGTGTCATCTTAGCTCACTACAACCTCAAACTCCTGGGCTCAAGCCATCCTCTTGCCTCAGCCTCCCAAGTAGCTGGGACTACAGGCACCTACCATAATGCCTGGCTAAGTTTTCTATTTTTTTAGACACAGGGTCTTGCTCTTGCTCAGGCTGGTTTCAAACTCCTGAGCTCAAGTGATCCTTTCACCTTGGCCTCCCAGAGGGCCAGGATTACAGGTGTGAGCCACCTCACCCAGCCTGATTGTCCATTCTTTCATAAAGTCTATGCCACCTTTCCCGCGGGGCTGAGGTCTGCTTCCTGGCTGGCAGATCAAGCCTCTCCTGGAGTCTGGGCCTGGGTATCAGGAGGTTCTCCAGAATACTGAGTGATCCGAGGCAGATTCCTATGCTCTGGACCTCAGTACCTCATCCGAGTATTTCCTCTTCAATGTTAAGATCGCCATATAAATGTTAAGATGCAATTATCTCATTTCTCTCCAGAGGGTTGTGGGTGGATTTGGAAGGAAGCAATGGTATCTCATTTGGCTTGAGACCTCTACCCCTCCATGACCCCCTTGTGCTGCCTCTCCTGAGACCCCAAGTCAAATGGGGAAGAACAGGGCATGGAGTACGAGAGGCCTGATACACCTGCAGGTCTGATCTGGCTGGTTCTGCCCCCAAGACCTGTCCCACTCTCTGAAGGGAAACGTGTTGTAGCATCAACAACGTTCAACCGACATGGAGGTGATACTTCTTTCTCCCCTCAAACCAAACTATTTAAGTCCCAGGACTACTCCTAAAACTATTTAATGATCACCTGGACGTTTTTACAGTGGTTTCCACCTCTGGGGTGCCTACTCTTCGTTATCTCCCAGCAGCCTGTGAGGAAGGCGAGGCTTCCCACCTCCACTTAACACAAGAAGATAGATACAGGGCCGAGGAGGCAGGAAGCGACTGATCCGAGACCTTCCAGCCACTAAATGGGGGAGCAGGGTCCACTCTGTGTCTCTCAACTCTTGGCCCTTCCTAACCCTGGTTTCTCAGATCTCTGACCCTGGTCTCTTCTCCTCAGGTACAATGGCTTGGTGACTGGCACAAGGGCCAAGGGCATCATTGCCATCTGCTGGGTGCTGTCATTTGCCATCGGCCTGACTCCCATGCTGGGCTGGAACAACTGTGGTCAGCCGGAGGGCAAAAACCACTCGCAGGGCTGTGGGGACGGCCAGGTGGCCTGTCTCTTCGAGGACGTGGTGCCCATGAACTACATGGTGTATTACAACTTCTTTGCTTGTGTACTGGTGCCCCTGCTGCTCATGCTGGGCGTCTACTTGCGGATCTTCCTGGCGGCCCGGCGACAGCTGAAGCAGATGGAGAGCCAGCCGCTGCCTGGGGAGCGGGCTCGGTCCACGCTGCAGAAAGAGGTCCACGCGGCCAAATCACTGGCCATCATCGTGGGGCTCTTCGCCCTCTGCTGGCTGCCCCTGCACATCATCAACTGCTTCACCTTCTTCTGCCCGGAGTGCAGCCATGCCCCTCTCTGGCTCATGTACCTGGCTATCGTCCTCTCCCACACCAATTCTGTCGTGAATCCCTTCATCTATGCCTACCGCATCCGTGAGTTCCGCCAGACCTTCCGCAAGATCATTCGCAGCCACGTCCTAAGGCAGCGAGAACCCTTCAAGGCAGCTGGCACCAGTGCCCGGGCCATGGCAGCTCATGGCAGTGACGGAGAGCAGGTCAGCCTCCGCCTCAATGGCCACCCCCCAGGGGTGTGGGCCAACGGCAGCGCTCCCCATCCTGAGCGGCGGCCCAATGGCTACGCCCTGGGGCTGGTCAGTGGAGGGAGCACCCATGAGTCCCATGGGGACATGGGTCTCTCTGACGTGGAGCTCCTTGGCCACGAGCTCAAGGACGTGTGCCCAGAGTCCCCTGGCCTAGAGGACCCCCTGGCCCAGGATGGAGCAGGAGTGTCCTGATGGTCCATGGAGTTTGCCCCTTCTGAAGTAAAGAAAATCTTTATCTTCTTGGTTGGCTGGACCAGTTCTGTTGGGAGAAGAGAATGAGTGTCCCGGGAGACCCTGTGGGCAGCCGGTTCCCACTTTGGACTGAGAGGAGGGAGCCCTGGGCTGGAGCAGCATGAGGCCCAGCAAGAAGGGCTGGGGGTCCAAGGAAGCAGATATTTCGTGCTGTGAGCCTCTGCACCAGGCCAGGGCCACAGCACCAGCAGCGTCTTGGCTGGGCAGGGCCCAGTCCCCTATTCCAGAGCATTTAGAAATGCCACCTTGTCTCCACAGAGCAGCTGTGGCACAGCAGACTGGCTTGGCCCTGCAGCTGGGGAGTGGCTCCCACAGGCCCCCTGCTATACACACATCACCCTCCCTAGACTCCTGGGGTCCAGGAGCTTCTGGGCCCAGATGTGGCATTTGACAGTTTTTTTTCCAGGAGAAAATGTAAGTGTGAGGAAATCCTTTTTATTTTATTATCTTTCCTTCCCTGGCTGCTGGGTCTGTTGCCAGTCCTGCTGCTACCCTGGCACCAGAGTCTCTGCCCAGGGAGTCCTCTCCTGCCGCCATGTACTTTTCAGCCCCAGGGCCATCTCTTGGGGTGACAAAGCTGGGATCAAGGACAGAGAGCTGTAACAGACCAGTGCCAGAACATGGGCTCAGGCCCCCGGGGAGAGGTCCTGGCTGGCAGGCCATGGGCGTGTGTAGGGGCAGCTCAGAGCGGCCCAGTTAGAGGCCCTGTCTAACTGCCTTTCCTTCTAAAGGGAATGTGTTTTTCTGAGATAAAATAAAAATGAGCCACATTGTGTTTTAAGCTTGGCCAATGAGAGTGGTGTCTGATTCCTTTCCCTGCTCCATAACCAGGCCTCGAGTACACACACGGGTGTGTATGGTATGTGTGTGACAGAGTGTGCAAATGCGTGCAGACCCTGCCTGCCCCGGGGCCTCCCCAGGCTCCTATCCTTGAGGCGACAGGCTGTCTGGTTGCTCCAGAGTCCACATGCCCATGCCTGGCCCCCAGACCTGTGTTTCTGTGAGAGGGCCCACAGGGGCTGTGGGAGATGGGGCTCCTTCCCCAGCTGCTCACCCTCTAGCCCCAGGCATTCCTGGTGTGGTAACTGGCTCCTCCCTCCCTCATTACCTCCTGACATCCTTAGGGGACAATCTCTTCGCATGTTACCTTCTCAGAGCTGTACCCCCAAATCCTGCCCTGTTCTACCTCCCAGCTGAGAGGCTGCAGAGGTATCTGGAGACAGAACTGGACTGGGGCTAGACTGCCTTCCCCTAGAGTCTCCCTCCCCCAGTTCCCAGCAAAAGAAGCCTGTGAGGAAGGGATTTGTTTTGCGCTGACACCTGCCTCTGGGGCCTCCTGCCTGGGAAGATGGTGCCATCCTCTGTGCCAGAGAAGTCTGAGGGCTGGGGGCAATTAGCAACCTGCTCCTGACTGGCGTTGGCAGGGAGCTGTGATTGTCCCAGTTCAGTCTCATTCAGGCTGGGACCCGGGAAGAAGTGTTAGAACTTCATGGGCAATCACACAGCCCTGGAAGCCCTGTTTTACAGGTGATGAACAAGCTCAGAGAGGTGAAGTCCCTGCCCCAGTCACACAGCTAGTAAGTGGCAGAGTGAACTTAAAAACCCAGCTCTGTACGACTGCAAAATCTATGCCCTTTTTTTCCCCATTAAGTTATGATGAACTATTTCAACCAAACAAACAGTATAAAATAATATGTCCCCACCACTCTGCTTAAGAAATGGAACATTACAGAGGATGCATCTGACCCCTCCCCACATCATTACCCTGCTTTCTGTGTCCAGAAACAACCACTTTCCTGAATTTCATTTCTTTCCATTGCACATCTTTATACTTTTTACTACATACATGCACGTGTCACTATCCCCAAACTAGCACAGAATTGCTTCAGCTATCTCACGGTGGTATTAGAGGTCCTCTAGACTGGCTGCACCGAAGAAACACTTAGGAAGCTTGGATAAATACTGAAGCAAGAGCCCCTTGCCCCAGAGACGCTGGATTAACCGGCCTGGGTGGACGCAAGCAGCAGTACCTTCCTGGGGTTCTTATGAACAGCCAGGGTTAAGAACCACTGATATAAATGCACCGACGCCACTCCCTGTCCACACCAGCTTGCTCCCTCGGGGGGTTTGCACTGCCTGTGCGCTGAGGGTGGAACAGCAGTCTGGGTTGTGCCTGAGGAAGCCACAAGTGCAGATGCTATCGGTCCTCACCACCACTTGGTGGAGAGACGCCAGAAAGAAAACTACAAAGGGGGAAGAAAGAAACCTTGTCTCTCAAGCCTTTTGTGAGACCTCTTGGGAACCAGGCTATGGGTGCTGGGCCACCTGGGTACAGGCTTTCAGTTTGGGAGGACAGGGCCAGGGGCTCAGGAAAGGCTTCTGGGTACGAGTGTGCCGAAGTCCTCCCCGGGCCAGCTCTGGCGCCCAGGCCTCCTCAGGTCCCCAGGGGCCTGGTGTCCAATGTCCACACGCACCCCGTGTGGATCCCCACTGTGAACAAGCCTAAGTGTAAGCACGTGTGCACAGACATGAACACATACATATGTCATCCTTCTGACCATAAAACAATACACACATGCAACATGAACGTGCCTGTGGGCAGAGCCCACCTCAACAGCAGGGAGTGAGCAACAACACCAGGAAGATGTGAAGCCTCATGAAGGGAATGAGAAACTACCCAGCCCTACAGGGTGCAGGCTCTGCCCTGGTCCCCACTGCTGCTGGCTGCGGCCCGGTCTGCTCCAAGCTCTGCAGCTCTAAGGGCCCCTCTGCCCTCTCCCTGCTCTTCCCAAAGGGCTAGGGGTGGATGGCATGCTTCATTCAGGCCTGTCCAAGCACAAGGGTCCTATCACAGACCCATGTCCTTGGCGGCCCCAGCCCCTCTCTACAGCAGGCATGGCCAGGGCCACAGGGAAGCCAGAGAGCAGAGGCCTGCCTCAGGTCTTGGCTCATCACTGGCCCTCATGAGAGACAGGCCGTCTGGAGGGCTACCCTGTCACCTCTTCCAATAGCCACCCCTCCCAAATCCCTGCTTTGAAGCTCTCCTTGTTTGTATTAAGGCCCACTCTTCTGGGTGGCAACTGAGGAAGATAGATAGAGCCACAGTTCTGTGTGCGGACCAGGGGTGGCAAACCACAGCAGGACAGCAAAGACTGGCTGCCGGGGAGTGAGAGGAAATGAGCTGAGCAGCCAATGTCCCCTGGATCTCCTGAGACTCGGTATCCCAAAAATGGGAGGCTGGCCTTCTTTTCAGCTGTGGTGGGGAAGCAGGAACCTGGGGGAAGCCAACTGCTCAGGGAGTGAGCAAGGTTCTGTGCAGCCTGCCCCTGCTCCTGGGGCCACAGGGAAGGTGGGTCAGGACAGTACTCTGTGCCTAGCATGCTGCTCCCAGCCTGCCATGCCCTGCAGTTCCCCACCACGGCCACTGCTACAGGCTCTCCCCAGGGTGGATGGACACCTTCTCCCTGAGCTCCTGTGCCGGACAGGTGCTGCCTGAGCACACTAGGCAATGTCCCTCTGCTGATGGGAGAGATGACCTTAGAGGGGACGAACCTGGGAGACCAAGGTGTGCTGTGAGGCAAGTGGGTCCCTCCCTGGCCCTCTCCTGCTCTGTAAGGGTGTGAGATCACCACCAGCTCTTGAACCTCCCACACCCCTGCCCTCTCTGTCCCAAGGTGCCCCCTCACTGCAGCTGTCACTCATCATTAGCAGTCACTGTCATTGTTAGGACACCCCCTGTCAGGCTGCAGAGCCGGGGGAGGGGGCGGGAGAATGTCAGATGACTCACACAGCCTCGAAGGAGGGGACAAACACAGAGAACACAGAGCCTGGTGCCAGAAGCACCTTTTTAGACCCTCTGGCTCAACCCTTTCTTTTTCCAGAGGAGAAAGAGAAGCTCAGCAGAACTTCCTGACAAATTCCACTGCCTCCCACGAGTTAGGCTTGGAGAGGGGCTGGGCCCAGGGAGAGGCCAGGCTGGGGAGTCAGCATGAGGCTGGGCAGGTGACAGGTGTAACCAACCTAGGGTCCCCTGAGGGAGGGATTTTTTCCCACCAGTGGGAAAGGCTTTGCAAGGAACGACTCACACTTCCTTGCTTTGTCCAAGGAAGCGTTTTTGGTTTTTGGGAGGTGGGATGTTGTACAATTGGCCACTTAGACTGGCACCGAATGACCAGCTAAGCCCTCAGATAGTGCTGTAGGACCTGAGCCCTCTCTCCTAGCTCTCTGTCTCTCTCCCAGCCACTTAATGAGCAAGGACCCACTGATGCACTCTGAGCCTGGGGGGCGGGGTGCACAGGGAGGCAACAATCGACTGAGGAGAATGAGCCAGAAATGGTCTGGGGAGGGTATGAGGAAGACACAAGCTCTGGGGGTCTGCAGGGGGAGACAGTCACACCCAACTGAGGAACTGGGATGGGCTCTGCAGAGCAGACCAAGTCCAGTTAGCCTCTCAAAGGGCGGCAGGCAGCTCAGGGCCCCATCTCTTCTGGGTGTTTGTTAGGAAATAAGAAGGAAGAAGATCTGAGTAAATCTGCGCCTGATTTACATCTGCCTACGCAGAATTATGCCATCCATTTGGAGGCAATTTTCAAGTTAAAATGTTGTCAGAGGGTTGTCACAGTTTTGATCTTTCTTTTCTGTTCTTTCTCAACCCACCCACATTTTCTAGTTGGGTTGGAAAGGGGAGTGAGGGGAGATAGAGCCTGGTTTATATTCAGAGATTTCTGGAATTGTTAAAGATAGATGGGACTTTTAGAAATTAGCACATTTTTCTCTCAGGAAAATTTAGTCCCAGGGTCCAATGTCATGGCTGTTCTGTTGGTTCCTGAACTTTCAGGAGAAATGGAGGGACCTGGCCAGGCATCCTGCAGTTACCCACAGGCTGTCTCTCGGGGCTTCAGCTTGATTCTCTCTTCCTCCTAGTCCAGAGATGCCACATAATCCCACGACCACCACCCTGCTTCACCGAGCTCTGAATGGGGAGTCAAAATACCAGGTTCAACCCCTGGCCTTGCCGTTGACTTCTGATTGGGCAAGTCACTGTCTGAGCCGCTACACATACTTTTAGGGTAATAAACGTGACAGTGATTTGGAAAATATATGTAACATACATGCCCAGGATTATTATTGTCATTGCAATAATAAATCCATTCTCAGTTCGGAAACCAGAAAAGGGCAACCGAGCAATAACTCCAGGGTCTTGCTCTGTTGTGCTGGCTGGAGTACAGCGGCACCATCACAGCTCACTGTAACCTCAAACTCCTGGCCTCAAGCGATCCTCCCCCTTCGGCCTCCCAAAGCACCGAGATTACAGGTGTGAGCCACTGCACCCAGCCCAGTGTTCTTGAGTGGAAAGGAGGCTGGAAGGGAAGGAAGACAGTGGGGAAAGAGGACTGCTGAGCGGTTTCTATATTCTGCTCACTGACATTGCCCAACCACTGCCAGACGGAGAAACGCAGTATGAATTTAAGCCACGTATCTGAAAGCCTCTGGTCTCTGGGGACTGGGAGGTGGGTGTGGAACTGGCAGATGACCTAGGCAAGGGGCATTGATTATGGATCATTTCCTGTATTCAACTGCATACTGACCCATCTGTTCACGAAAGTCTACAAATTAGGGGAGTTTGGGCTTATAAAAGAGTGAACAGAGAAGGGATATAGTAAATGTCTGGGCTGGCAGAATCAGAATCCGAAATGACCTCAGAGGGCTGGACAGATAAAATTGGTAAGATCAGTGTAAAGTCCTGCACAATTTTGAAAAAAACAGTGTGCTGGGAAGAGAAGTGAGAGGAGAAAG